GTCTAACTCAGTTGGTAGAGCACAAGGGTCTTAACCTTGTAGTTGTGAGATTGAATCTCACTGAAGGCAGTTCATAACGGAGATTTTTCACGAAAGCTACTCTCAACCTGACGTTGGGGGCAGTCTACTACCATATCATCCCCTTATCCCATTATATATGGGAATAGGGTCAACTATATAATTTCAGGAACCAATACACGCACGTGCAGTCTATTGGTAGATGCTTTGACCTTTGGGGGACTACAAATAAGGTTTCCTTCACATTTTTCATACCTTTCTTCATTTTCCATTTTTATTTTCTTCTTTCCTCCACCGACTACGGAGGTTTGAATCCGCTAGGGCGTGCAGTGACCATTTCGGGTTCAAGCTTTCTACAGTGTTGTTAAGTTTGAATTATTTTGATTTTGTTTGGTTTCGAACATAAGATGTTCGATGAAATGCTTATTTTATGATTTTTTTTCTTGAAACGATATTTTTATGCGATGAAACTTCATTTGATATTTTTAAAAATAGAAATATCTTTATGTATGTTAATATTAGTTATTTTTAGAAATGGAAATCATTAATATTGGATGCTACTTATATGCAACATCATTATTCACGAAAGTGTGTTTAAGCATATAGAGATGTATCTACTGATCTGTCATTGCTTTGTTAACTATTTGACCAATGAAATTAGTGAAAATTGATTTTTATTGGTTAAGTGTTTATTTAATCTTTGAAGGGGGATTAATGTGTTAATCATTTCATGTTGTATAACCGTATTATCTCAACATAATCATACTGTCAACTGCAAAATGACAACATCATTTACTGGACTAGTGGTCTATTTGCTCTCATGTTTGCTACTGCTATAAACCTTTGCTATAAACCTATCATTATTTCATTCCAAAATTATCTTTTGTAAAGAATCAACAATTCTAAGTTGTAATTCTTTGCTCTATATGAGTTCGACATTTGAAACTCTTGTAGTTTTCAATTTATTACTTGATATACGAATACATGCACTTCTGTTCAATGCTGTAACAATTTCGTACCATCATCAGGCAGAAAGTAATGAAATCCCTTGTGCTGCGAGCTATATCCCAAGAAGGTGCAAGCTTGGGAATGAAACATCAATTTATGTTTCTGAAACGGTCGAAGGTGGGGAAAACATCTACAATCGAATATCCTCATCAACTTGTTATCTGGTTTCTTGTCAAAGAGTTTCTCAAACGAAGTCAGATCACCGAGCACCCTCTTTAGTAACCTATTTATAAGATACACAATGATGGTTACATCATAAGACCAAAATCGTAAAGGACGAGATGCTTGAGCTAACAATACCAATGCTAACTCAATCAAATGTCTATGCTTGTGTTCCATCACCCCATTTTGCTAAGAGGTGTGTAGACATGTTACACGATGTACACTCCAACCTTAATCAACTCCGTCGACAATGACATGACTCACCTCCCCAATCGCTTTGCATAGCTTTGATCAACATCCCAAACTACATCTTAACCATTTGTTGAAACAAATGAACTGCAACAATTGCTTGTGATTTATCTTTAAGCAAATACAACCATGTATGCCTGGTAGATGCATCGATAAAGGACACGTAATAAAAAAAATATGTTTGAGGACACGTCCGAGGGACCCCATAAATCGGTGAACACGAGTTTAAACAAAGTATCAGAAATAGTTTGAGAATTTTGAAATTGTAATTTGTGACCCTTTCTCATGCAACAAGCATTTCATATATTATTCATATTTGTTGAAATGCCATAGCTCATAGGGACTAAGCAAAGCTATATCTGCATTTACTTCTTCTTTGTTGGAGTCACGTTGCATGTCAAAAATTTAAAGACCGTCCGTCTGATTGCCACAAACCAGCACATCACTCGTGTCCTTATCACTAACTAAGTAATCCTCGGCATAAAACTCAACAACGACCTGATTATCCCTAACAAGCTTAGAAATTGATAACAAATTCTTTGTTATTTTAGGCACATGCAAAAGATCATCCAAGAACAACGCTTGGGAAGAAGAAGATGCAACTATCGATTTGCCTATCATATTAACTCCTAATGACTATTCGTTACCAACAACCAAATTACATGAGCCATTAAACTCAACCAGATGCAAGATGTGCGTGGCACCGGAGTTCACCTCCCAGCGTTCTCTCGAGGCAGAAGCAACGTGTGCATGTGGTAGAGAGCTGGTTGAATCATCACTACTATTGGTAGTACAACATGGGCACCTTGTATCATTATAGGCCATATGATGAGCAGTTCCAGACTGTTTCTTAGACTGAGAACGATCAGCACTTATACTCACGCCAGGGAAGTCTTGATCAAGCCGGTACCAACACCGGTTGATAGAATGACCATTCTTTCCACATAGGTGACACTAAACCATGCACGACCTCCATGACCTCTTCCACTGGTTCTACCACACGATTTTGATGAGTGTCGGTGATGCTTATACTCATTTGAAGTGCGAGAATCAGAGGTGACCTTACCTTGTACGAGGTTTGCACTGATCGACAATCCCTCAAACTGGGATTCGAACCCAGCAATTTGCGTTTCAGCGTCCACTAGAATAGAACAAATCTTGTCAAAGGAGAGAGATTCACCTGAGGCGGTTATAACAGTCATGAACGGTTGATAGTCCCTCGACAACCCTTTCAAGACGCTAACAACATGTTCAACTTGAGCCACCGAATTGCCGCAAGACGCCTGATAATCGCACACCTCTTTAATATGAGTGAGATAAACCCGCATATTGTCATCGCCCTTCTTCAATGACTGTAGCTTGTAATGTAAATTCATCACCGCTGTGGTCGACCTGTTAGCAAAGAAACGAAGAACTGTCGACCAAACATCGGTAGTTATTCAGCACCCACAAACTGAGCCAGTAAGGAGGCACTGATAGTCAATAACAACCAAGACGCAAGGGTTCTATCTTGGGCAACGAAATCCTCATGCTTCATTTGGAACCAATTCACCATTTTCATTTACAACAGTTTCCGAAGGTGCTTGCTTCGTCCTAGTCAGCAATCGCTCAAGACGGTTACTACGAACTGCGAACAACACTTGTTGTTTTCACAAGAGAAAATTTGACTCGTCGAGCACGACGTTAACCTTCTTATTCGTGAACATTTTCAACGATCTTGGAGAAAGACTTACTTGGCACAGCTTGAAGAAGACCCAAACAGGCCGTCAAGGCTTAGCAACAACCAACCCACACAGCTCGAGAACCTTCAGCCAATAATACCATGTTGAAATAACGAAGAAAGTATTCTAACAGAAAACAAAGAAAGGAATGAAATTTCTTTATTCACGTGGAAAATAACTTGCCAACTTTCAAGAATCAATACACACTCAATGACCTCATGCAGTTGACAATTAACCATGCCAACTAGTCTAACAGCCTAACTGCACAATTAACCACTTAATTTTTCTCATACAAAACTGAACATTACACGTGATTACTAACAACTATATTCAACACTTTAGATATGAAATTTGTGAATCATTTGTGAATTTCATTATTTCAATTCTGATTACAAAACTCATTTTAAAATGTAATTTTTTTAAGTATATAGTCTAAAGAAACTCACATTACATACTTTTTTAAATTTGTTTTTAATATTATTATTTCTATATTTGTAATTATTTTATAAAATTTTAATATTGAAAATTCCTTTCAAAAATATTGATCCAAACAATATAATTGCAATTGCTAGTATTTTGAATTGATGAATTTATAAGATCAGTATTCTTAAATCTCTAAAACTTTAATTTCCCCCCCCCCCTCTAAACGCACATATTATAAATAAACCCCCCTTGTTTGTTTGTTTTCCTTGTTATAATTATAATAAAAAATATGAAACATATTTTAGAAAAAACAAAATTATTTAGAAACGCTTTTTCTTAATATATTAGCTTTACGTTTCTGTTAACCAATCCTCTTTTGTTTTAGTTATATTTCAGATATAGAAAGGAAACTACATTTTGTTAACCCTTGTTGTTTCAATAATTATTTTAAAAGTTAATATTTTTTTTCATGAATCAAATTATCTCGGTGGTTAAAGGAACAATAATTTTTCTTAGAGGTATTGGGTTCGAGCACTAATAATTGCATACAAGTTATTGAATGTTCATTGTCAAATGATTTTATGGCATGTTTCCGTTTGATTGGTCGTTTTCCTTATATGATCATTGTATAATTTTATATGACTAATTTTTATGTTAATAGTTCCAAAAAAAATATTTTAATCATTTGTTTAGTTTATGAAGTTTATTATAATTTTAAATATTTTCTCAATTTAATAAAACTAACTAGCCACCCTATCTGCATAAAGAAAATTACATTAAGAAAAAGGATGTTCAATTATATGTTCCATCATGTAATGATGACCACAAGGTAATCATTTCCCATACAGTTGTAATTTAAGAAATATTACATAATTTTTATATTACTCGATAGTTGAACATAAATCAAATGTAGAGACTATGCTGAACTATGAACGTTCAATTAGAAGTGTAATTTAAGTTCTGCACCTTTATTTAGTTAACGCAGCTATTCCAAATCTTTTCACTACACTGTTAACCAGCATTTCAAATCGCAGTCGCCTTTTTAGTCATTTCGGGTTTATCGTGATTATGGCCGTTGTGGGCGTTATTACGACTGTCGCAGGCGCCATTACGACTGCCTTTTTAGTCATTTCGGGTTTATCGTGATTGTGACCATTGTGGGCGCTATTACGACTGTCGCAGGCGCCATTACGACTGCCACAAGCGCTATTGGGCGCCATTGCGAGTATAGCGAGTAACTTGAACGGTGGTAACACCGCTATTTTGCAGATGCTATCACATTTTCAGACCGTAATTTGAAACCTTGATGTTAACTTAGCGTTTGAAAAACAGAAAGATTGTCTTCACCAAACAGTCAAGATTAAATGGTAGAATAAAGATTTTCAGTCTGCAAGATATGGCAACAGTCTATAAGAAAACTGAAACGCAATCCAAGTTCAACAACACAGTCATATTTATTAAACTCAGGCTAACCTTACAGTCGGACTGATCGACCGGTAGCCATAGTTGGCATTTATTCATGAAGCACGCCACAGCCAAGTTGTATACCAAGTTTCCCTTTTTAAGTCGTAGAAAATCAAACAAATAATGAATCCAAACCCTAAAATATCCTACTTAAGGGGTCAAAATTCAGTTCCACTCCACGTCTGAACGGATTTATATAAGAATTCTACACAACCAAGAGACCTACGCCTCTCTAGCGTGAGTTGTCTGCTTAACAGAGCTACTTCTCTTTCTGCTGTTGCTATTGCTATTTCAGTTCACTTGCTGCTGGTAACTGCCATAGAATGGATACGCCCCATATGCTTCTGCATAAATGCCCGGGTTGTGAGGTGATAGCAAAGCATATCCATAACCATCATACGCAGCTCCTCCATAGTAAGCTCCGCCCCACTGGTTACCATAATCCGCTTTAAACTGCATTATCCCAGAATAATAATAAGATCAAATAGAGGTGATTTACTCAAAGTAATAGATAACAGGATGTCTTAAGATCGTCCATTTCTGCAAATCATGTAGTGGCAGCTTTCTTAATGCTGCAATAAACAATGACTGTAGATAAAAAAACAGATACCTGCTTATTTGCTGGATTGTGGCCCCAAGAGAGTCGCACTGTTTGCTTCCCAATTATAGTCCCATTCAACTTCTGCAATGCCTCCTCAGCATTGTTCCTGTTTAGACTCCAGGTGTTAATAAAAGGTAGTGACTCAATAGTATCCAACTTACACCTCTAACATAGCACAAACGGTAAATTAATGGCAAAGCTAATATAACTACAAATTGTACCTGCTGGCAAATTGTACAAACCCACATCCTTTTCCAACAGGTATTTTAACAGAGACTATTTCACCATACTGGGAGAAAGGTTGCCTGAGATCTTCCTCAGTCACATTAGGGTCAAGCCCTCCAACAAATATCTAAAATAAGTTTCGATTAGTCAAGGGGCACAAATGATCATAACCCTAAGAACTAAAGCTGAAAGAAATTAAGAACTCACGGTTGTATTTGAAGAATCTCCATCAGATTGGGTTGAAGCACCATTTGACGCATAGCCACCTTCCAAGAAGGCATGAACAAAAGGAAGCAAATATGAAGTGAAATCCTAAAAGCTTTAAAACATAACAAGAAGAAATAGATGGGACAAGATTGAACAACAGCAAACTCCAAATTAATTGTGTAAGGATGTAGTTATAATACTAGGTAAATAAGCATCTGCATTTTTGCAACGTTCTCAACACTGACATTCCTGTACAATGCCAACTACACAATAACCACATTTACAGACGCCAATTTAAAGATTTACTCCAAAAAGAAAAAGTGAGCAAGAAGGTCACAGTTCCAATTAACTTAATCGCAACCACAATCCTTTGGTGGTTTCTATTTGACAAAATAATGTAGATAAAATAAACGTTATACACTTCTTCAAATCAGCAGTATATAGTAACAGTTTCATCATAATACTAGTTCTTACCACAAGCAATAGATGAACCTCAGTATCTTCTAATAATTCCTATGTTAATTTGTTGCTGACAAGAAATTGGAAATCACCCATTTTGAAACAATTTACATGTTGTATGGAAAAAGGACAGTGATTATAAACAGAAAACTTTAAAAAGCCCCCTCAAAAGAAGCTAAACTTAGTAGCTCGACAGAAAGGGGAAAATGGAATTTGTCCCCAAACAGAAAACTAGCATTTCATTTCCCAACCAACCTACTATTTCACACCAACACATTCTAATAACCAGAAAAGAGGAAGTCAAACAACAAGAAGAGAACCAGAACTGACATTGTAAACTGTCTGAGAAGGAATCAGATTTCCTCATAGCAAAAACTAAGTCAATGCAGGTGGGCAAGATTGAACTTAACTTTTGCATCAAGAATTGCAGAGGATCCTCAAAGAGGGGGAAAATCATTCAGAAGCATATACAAGTGACAAAACAAAAGGGTGGCACATGTAAGCACTTTAGCAATAAATTTTAATCTTTAAACAAAGTTTTAATAAATTAAAATACCAATGCCGGTATAAATTAAGTAATCAAATACCTTGTGAAGAATACTGTTGCTGATACCCAGAGGATTTCCTAGGAGTTGCAGCACCAATACGCATAGGCCTGCTTGAACAATATACACCATTCATTTCAGTCATGGCATTAGACCTCTCTGTATCATCCCCAAACCTCACAAAGCCATAACCTTTAGATCGACCAGTATTAGCATCGATAACGACTTTTGCTACTTTGACAGAAGGATATTTACTAACAAAAGTTTCATGCAATAGTCTATCAGTAACATCTGCAGCTAAATCTCCTACAAAAATGGAAAGATCAGGACCATTCTCAGAGCGCTTGTCTCCTGTGCTAAAAGTTGCCCAGTTCAGACGGAAAGGTTGATCCATATTAGGCATCAAAATGACACTATAGTTTTGGAGAACTTTCTCTGCTGTAGCATGAGAAAAAAATTCCACAAATCCATATCCTTCTGATAGACCAGTCTGCTTATTGCGGATGACCTTGATGGATGAAATCTGCTCAAATAAATTCCAACTGTCAATTTAAGTTTGGCAAACAACTCAGGCCTTAAAAACAAAATCCAATATTTCTTTAACTTTGTTTTCATACAAGTTTCTCTGCCTTCTTGGTTTGAACTTAAGCAGTCTCGCTATCACAATGTGCTAACCTCACATTTAAGGCAAATGTAACAAATTTCTTGCATAAATGATACATCTAATTTAGGTCAAACAATCGGAAAAGATCATTTAAATTTATCTTCAATTTAACCTCAGCCTTCATAAAATTCCAAACCATTAAAAATAATGACTTCTCCAAATAGCCTTTTGACATTCCAGGCTATATGTTCATACTTCAAAACCAAATTCCAAACTTATTCCAGGCTCTACTCAAATATGCTCCTTACCTTTTCATTACTCTTTTAAAATGCCTTAAATAGCCAAATAAGGCATTGATCTCATCCTCTCATCCAATTTACTAGTTCATGCACATCTCATTCGTGGTATTTGATTAGCAATCAAGTATAAAACCAAATAGCTACATGTGCCAACCACAAAACAGGCAGTGAATGCCTTAATCATAGAGAAAATCCTATCTTTTCCTAACTAAGACATGACGTACTCGTTAAGATTGCCATTTAAAGAAATATTTTCCATCCGACAGTGATTTTATTAATTATCAATGGAGATGCATTTAATTTGAAAATATATCCATTAAACAGTACTATACAAGTGTCCCAATAGTACTCCTACGTGTATAAGCATGGATTAAAGAAGACAACCGATCATTAATAAATAATTCAAACTGATTAAATCAATATCAGATAGCGTCGTGACTGCAGAAACCACGACAATGACAATATACAGTGCAATAACCGATGTCATTGAAAAGAAAATGAAACAAAGAAGAGTTCAGTATGAATAATATCAAATTAAAATAAATATATTTAAGAGAGATTTTGTTTACCTCGCCGGAAGAAGCAAAACAAGTATGAAGGTAGTTTTCGTCCATCCAATGATGCAAATCACCAACCCAAATGGTTTTGTTCTCTCCGCCACCGTTGGATCCTTGCTGCTGCTGCTGCGCCTGTTGCGCGTTTCCATGGTGGTGCTGGAACTGATGGTTACGAGGGTGATATGGCATGTAGTGCTGAGGTGGAGGTGGCGGCGAAACGAAATGGGGCGGTTGCATCATCTGATGCTGCATTACCATAGCTGTCGCCGGATACTGCATCGCCAACCACTGCGGATGTGATTGTGGCGGTTGTTGTTGGCGTTGGTTGTGTTCTTGCGAAGGTTGCGCCGGCGCTTGCGAATCGGAACCACTATTTTGCTGCATCCTTATCTCTTTATTACTATCTCCTCTTTTTGAAACAGGAAAATGATTGAATAAATAAGATTCCAATGCTTATTTAAATTGAATCTGGGTTTTTTCTAAATATTTTCAGGGAAACAAAGAGAATAGAAGAGAAAGAGGAAGTACGGCTAGGGTCTAACCAGAGGATTTAACGAAGGGTTATTGGAAACAGGAAACGCGGTTGTAGTTTTAATTGTTGGACGGGACACGTTATACTTTGATGGGTCGATCACAACCGTTTATATTGACCAAACGAGGTAGAATTTCTATGTGACTCGATTTAGAGTCTACTCTCCTGTTAGACTTCGGATGATAATGAGTTAACTATATCATGCGTCCAAAATTTATGATTATCATTTCAAATTAGTCCCGAAACTTATAATTATTCTAATTTCATACCTAAACCATGACTATCGTAATAAATTAGTCCTCAAAGCTTTAAAATTTTCATTTTCATCCTCAAACTATGACATTCATTCTAAGTTGGTCCCCAAACTTTAAATATTTCAATTTCATCTCAAACTATACCTATATACTAATCACATCTTTTGTTAATAAAATCATTAGGCCAAGTTATATTATTATCATTAGCAATATTTTTAGTATTTAACTTTTATAATAAATAAATGGGGCAGGATCCGATTACATGATGTGAACTCTTTTAGTTTTACACAGATTTAGGACCGTTAGATGAGTGAAAATAGATGACACATATTAATAATAGAATATGTGAAGATATTCACTTGGAAAAAAAACAATGATTCAATTTAAGTCATCTATTTTCACTCATCCAGTGGTCCTAAATCTGTGTAAAACTAAAAAGTTTTATATTATGTAAGTAGATCTTAACCCTAAATAAATGTGTATATATATAGGACATGATCCAATTAAATTGTATAAACTCTTTTAGTTTTACGTCTTTTTAGAAAAATAAGAATTCACTGAAAAAGATAAATAATTAATCTCAGCTTTTGATTTCATTCGATCTAATAATCTTAAAAATTGTGTAAAACTATTAGTAGAAGTTATTCCCCATATATTTCCTTTGAATGTGTGTCTTTACTTTTTTAAACTTTTTTATAAATGAAAATAATTATGAAAAAGTAAAGAACTTATTAAACTGATATTAATTGTTATATATTTTTTTATTAATTTTTATAATTTATTTCATACAAATAAAATAATTATCATCTGCTAGATCTGATAAAATAGACCCGGATTTAAAAGTTTATTTCTGTCCATTCAAAATTAAATTATTTTAAAGTGAAAAATTTTGAACTAGTCATAATTTAAAAATTCTAAAAAGCATATAATAAAAAAAATTAAAATTTAACAAAATTAAAATTAAAAGAATCTGAAATGAAAAATCCTAAGACGATAACAATATTTTAAAATTTGATTAATAAAAAAAATGGTTATCCCTTGTTCTTATATGTAATGGAATAAGGGGAGGTAAGATAGTAGGTTGCCTCCAACACCAGGTTAAGAGCAGCTTCCGTATAAGATATTCAAATTATTAAATGCCCTCCGTGAAACTCGATCCCACGACCTCAAGATTAAGAACCTTGTATTCTACCAACTGAGCTGGATAATACAACAACAACAACAATACACAATTCCCATATGCAATGGGGTAATAGGAAGGTAGGGAAGTAGGCTGCCCCCAACGCCAGGTTGAGAAAAGCTTCCGTGGAAGACCTCCGACGGTCAGAAAATTAAAAATATAGATAAAATGCAATGCATGTATAAATAAATACATAAATACATAATTGAACAGTATTCATATGCAGTCATTAATATCATTAATATCATATGTGCGTCTGTAATGGGCAATAATCCCTACAAATAAATTCATGCGAAAAAATCTCTGCATATAGACAAAAACGTAAGACCCAACTAAACTTAAAAATGAAAGAGAATGATCCATATAAATCAAAATTAGAGACGAGATGGAAATGTCACGTGGCAGCCTATAAATATATCCAGCAAGGCAAGGCATTTACTGTTCAGCTCGGCTTTTCTTCTCCAATCCCTTTATTTTTTCAGTTCAGTTAATCCATGGCAAAAAAATAACATCATTTTCGCACTTGCCTTTCTCTTTGCTTTGTTAATATTAGCTCATGGAATCAGATTTAAGGATGGAGTTGGGATTTCCAACTTTTACTCGGGAAAACAGGGACCCTGGTGAGTAGGCATGATAAGATGAAATATAGCCATGGAGCGGATCGTGATCCTCTTGCTGCCGCTTCCAAATCCGATACCAACGATTTCCGTCCCACAAGCCCCGGCCACAGTCCGAGCATCGGTCATTCAACCCCACCTAATGGCCATAGTTAGCAAGCTAGATTGCTCGATTCTAGATCACATGTATCGTGTATGTTATATAATTATTGTTTATCTACTGCTAACTGGCATTGTGGGTTTCTCTTTATGAATATTGTTCCTCTGGTTTTCTGCTTCCGGACCGTTGATTACTTGTATTATGTGGAATATTTCATAACTAGGTTCAAGTCCTTTGTCCTCCTTACCTACAACACTCACATGTAAGTAATTACCAAAAATAAAAACCCAATTCTTTTTCTTTTCGAAAACATTTTTTATGAACAAATGATGGTAAAGAAAGTATTTAAAATGATTTATTATCTTTATTGTGTTGATAAAATGAGTGTGTATTTGACCTATTCTATATGGCTTATCTCCAAGTTGCAAAGAGATCCAAGTGGTGATCTCATGTCACGAAGCCGCTTCTCCTTGGATAACACCTGAGCAAATCTGCAAGTAAAAAAAATCAAATTAGCATCATATATATAATTTACTCCATCTATTATGAATGGTATATTATTAACATAAGATCGAACTCAAAGAATATGATATAATACCTGACAAGCATCTCCTCATTTGTACCCCGATTAATGGGCTCAAATTTACCAGTCTCCAAATTCACCCTGGAAACTGGTTTTTTCAGCAGATTTTCCCCAACTTTTACAAGCTCCTCCAAGTTTTCTTTTGTAGCAATGTCCACACTCCACAGATGCCACTGTTCCACAAAGTGTATCATCCTGCAGTCATTTGATGCTTTAGGTTAAGCATAAATCTCACTTAACCTCATTTCCAAAAATTAAAAAAATGGATCTCTCTCTCTCTCTCTATAAATGCATACCTGAATACGGAGACAACTTTTTTCGGATTTAAGTCTTGGAAAACAGTAGCATTGCGAAAGTCGACCATGTCACTGCTGGCTTGCATGAAAACATCAATCAGCGGAGTGGAATGTTCACAAGTAAGCCATCCCAAGAGACCCATTTTGCTGCCGTTTGAGCAGGGTACTTCTCTTCACATTTCTGGGAACCGGTACCCAAGGACAAAACCAGGAATCGGGTATAGTCGTCCGGCTTTATAGGGAAGAAATTTGGATTCCCACGAGTTATTTCTTTGGTTACTTCATTGATGGCTACCAAGGTCTGCGAGTATTAATGGATTAATTTAAAAATATATGATCAAAGTTTATGTCACCACCAATTAATTGATAAAAACATATAGATATATATACGTACGAGATTATTAGCGGCAACTCCACCATCAATAAGATGGAATTCGTGAGCTTTGCCAGTGGAATCCTTGGTTTCAAACTGATGGGCAGGAAGATAAGTTGGCGCAGCAAACGTTCCAATGCATATATCGGAAAGCAAAGCATTTTTGCAAGGGTTGTTCTTTACCTACAATACGATATAAAAATGCAATCCAGGTAAATAATCTTACATCAAAAAGTTGGCAAAGGAGACTATATTAAAATTTGTAATAAGAGGGTATTGGTGAGTATATGAACCTCATAGGAGGAGAAGATTTTTGGTCGGAGCTGTTTGATGTCAAACGTCGGGATCACAACATTTGTCAATGTTTGATGCAATCTGGTTTCACCCAACTTTTCTCTCACGATGTTGTGAAGATATTCACCATCATATTTCGGACCAGTTAGAGATTTGAGCAAATTTGCAGCCTGGGCAAATGGGGTGCTGTTATGTAACAAAAGGATATATAATGTCAGACTGCCACCGTATTCTTAATATATATGGACGTCTATTTTTATCCACAACTATCAGCTTACCTATCTTGGGGAAAGATTTTTTGTCAGTGTTGGAGATAGAAATCGTTGATGTCTTTGGCTGCAAAAAGAGGGCGATTCTCGTTGTTGGGATCTGGGGTTGTTAACATGGCAGTGACGAGGCCACCGGTACTAGTCCCTGTAACCACACCAAAATAATCCCGCCAGTCTCTTCCTCACCATCCAGCTTCTGAAGCTCCGACTCTAAAAAGGCAAGAATAGTTCCGGTTATAAGCCCCCTAATTCCAACTCCATCGATACTGAGAACAGTGATCAAGTTCCCATAGGTGGGAGCTTGAAGGGGTGATTTGGGGCTCGCAACATCAAAATTGTCTTGTGGGAGACTTCCCATTACGCTGAGTGACTGAGAATGGTTGGGGGTTTGAGGGTCTTTGATTTAGCAGTTGACCTCCGTAAGATCAGTAAGATGCCTTAATTTGTTGGTTTGTTTGATGCTTTGGAGGAGTGCATGTCATGGGTATTTATAGACTTCCAGTTAGATCTCTCATATGTGACATTGAAGCATTCAACCTGGAAAGCAAAACCCAGTGTGTAACGATCGACTTTCTTGGATACATCTGCGAAGCTTGGTCGACTGAAACCCCAAATCTATGTTGTTTGCGACATGCATCGTAAAACTACAACTTTAAGAAAATCTAACTGTCGTAGATTAGATTTCTTCTCAAAATGGAAATGCTTTGCCCTATATTTGAAACTTCAACACGTGAAACGTGACCATATAGTATAGGACTAAATATCCAGTGGTTCAGACTCCAGATTGGAAAGTCTTTCATTAAATTATCAACAGGTGTACCACTGTCCATTTGTTATTAGCTTTGCGGTTCAAAGAACCAGTAAACGAATTAAATTACTGAGGAATTTCACTGAGTGAGGAAGTCGTCCACGTTGACTATACTTTTCAAAGGCGACCATTCTACTTCACTGGCCAATGATCAGTTCTGCCAAAGTAAATCATGGTATTCTTGAACAATATTTTGAAGTATTTACAAGGAAAATTATTTGGTTCAGTGAAATTGAAGAAAAAAGCTTCAAGAATTGTAACGTGTTTTTAGATGATTTTGAAAAATTA